ACTCCTTAGACTGCATCTTATTTCATAATTTAAATATTGATGTGTGTGATGAGTTGATTCACTGGAATGGTGATTCCCAACTGGGGGTAATGTTGCCCCACCAAGAGATGGTCAGCAGTGTTGGTGATATTTCTGCTTGTCATGATTGGGGGGGGGGGGATTGGTGAAAAAAGTTTGAAACCCCCCTCCCCCCTTATAGACTGAATCTTTTTTTTCAATGTCCTTTTCTTACTTTTTTTTTTTTTTATCACACCACACGGCTTGCAGGATGTTCCCGCACCAGGGATTGAACCTGGGCCATGGCAGTGAAAGCCCAGAATCCTAACCACTATGCCACCGGGGAACTCCTTAGACTGCATCTTATTTCATAATTTAAATATTGATGTGTGTGATGAGTTGATTCACTGGAATGGTGATTCCCAACTGGGGGTAATGTTGCCCCACCAAGAGATGGTCAGCAGTGTTGGTGATATTTCTGCTTGTCATGATTGGGGGGGGGGTGATTCTGCCTCCAGGGGACACCGGGAGATGTCAGGGGACTTCTGAGGTTGTCACACTGTGGGGGGCTTTTGGCGTCAGCTGGATAGGGGCTGCTCAACACCCCACAGTGCCCAGGCTGGCCCCGCACAGAGGATGACCTGCACCAGTGTCCAAGTGCAGAGGGGGTTAACTGGACTAGACTGTCTGGTATGCAGCTCCGTGTCCAGCCCAGAGCCTGGCCCACGGTGGGCGCTCCCCAAGGATGTGCGAGCTGAGGGGATGAGGGCTCCTTGCTCAGCCTCCCTCCCGGGGCGCAGGTCCTGGGACACGCTGCCCCCATGTGGACGGTCGTGGAACCGCGGCCTCCGCTCCCCTGTACAGGGAGTGGAGCCAACGCTGCCAGCCTTGCCTGACTCTGGGGAGGGTCTCGACGGGGCGCTGCCCACCAGCACTTTCCGCCAGGATGGCAGTATTCTAACTCGGTGCTGCCCAACATCCTCGCCGCCTGTGTCCACTGAGCCCCTGAGAGGTTGCCAGGGCAACTGCGGACATGCGTCTTTCATTTCATCTCATTTCCATCAATTTCAGTGTAATAATATAACGGTGTAGGGTAAGTGGCTCCCATAGCTCTAGTCCAGGGTACCCTCCTCTGCCCACCCTCCCGCACTGTGGACATTTGGGCCGAGCTGTGCATTGTAAAATGTGAGCAGCCGTCCTGAATGGGCAGGGCCAGAGATTTTGCATTCCTCCAAGCTCCCAGAGGAAGCCGGTCTGGGGACAGGTTTGAGATCCATTGCCCTACCCCAGGGTCGCCCCAGCACTGCTGACATGGGACCGGCTTATCCTCTGGGGGGCCGTCGTGGGCTCTGTGGGGTGTGCAGCAGCCTCCCTGGCCCCCACCCACTCGATGCCAGGATCCCCCCATTCGTGACAACCACAGATGTCCCCAGACATCACCTGGTGTCCTCTGGTGGCAGAATCACCCCTGGCTGAAAACCACTGCTCTAGAACGTTCGAGACCATGCTCTCCATAGAATACCCTGCTGTGGTGAGCGATAATGGGCACCTTCACTGTCCAGTGTGATGGTCACCAGCCCCAGTGACTAATGAGCCCCTGAGATGTGGCCTGTGCAGCCTAGGAACTCAATTTTTAAATTTCCTTTCATTCAGTTAATTTACATTTAATGCAAATAGGCAGGGGAGCTCTGCAGTAACCAGGGTGGACAACCTAACTGGTAGAGAAAGCAGCCACTCATCCGCTCATCCCTGGGCAGGAGGGGTCCCGGTGTGTGTGTGTGTCCATGGGCATTGTGTGTCTCCACGTTGGTGGATGTATTTGAATTTATGAACTTTTAAAAAAATTATTGTATATCAAGCATTCATTGGCACCAGACCCTGTTCTGAGCACTTTACTGTCATTGACTCAAGCACTTTACAAAGGTAGGTACTGACATTATGCTCATTGTATAGAAGAAGAAACTGAGGTTCAGAGAAGACAGCTGCTCATGTGCTCTTTTTAAATTTTTAAAAAAATTTTAATTAAAAAAATTTTTTTAGGGAACTCCCTGGCAGTCCAGTGGTTAGGACTCCACACTTCCACTGCAGGGGACACGGCTTCAATCCCTGGTTAGGGAACTATGACCCCGCATGCCGCATGGTGTGGCAAGGAAGGAAGGAAGGGAGGGAGGGAGGGAGGGAGGGAGGGAGGGAGAGAGAGAGAGAGAGGGAGAGAGAAAGAAAAGAAAAGAAAAAGAAAGAAAGAAAGAAAGAAAGAAAGAAAGAAAGAGAAAAATAATATTTTTTTTTTACCAAGTGCTCTTACTCTGTGCTAATGCCCAGCTAAGGGACCCTCACATCTCATTTCATTCCATCCTCACAACTTTCTGGAACTGTTAGGACTCCTGTTTGTGATGAGGAGACGGAGGTGCAGACAGAGGACATGCCTTGGTCCCAGTCACTCAGCAAGTAGAAGGCCAGAGTGAGGATTTGAACTCACCTCTGTCTATTAACCAGGAGGCTACACTGCCTCCCAGGACTGGCTTGGGGTGGGGGTGGGGATGGGGAAGTTTAGGGACATACAGGCAGAGGCAGGACTCAGAACTAGCCAGACTGGAGTTGGAATCTCATCTCTGTCATTCCTGTCTGTGTGACCTTAGGGGTGTGTCTTGCCCTCTCTGAGCCTCTGGGTCTCCTTGGCTATAGCTACTTCCTCCTGGGATTATTCTGGGGATTAAATCACATAACTCATTGCCTTAGTCTACTTGGGCTGCCATAACATAACACCATAGATTGATTGATTTAAACAACTGAAATTTATTTTCTCACCATTCTGGAGACTGGAAGTCTAAGACCAAGGTGCCAGCAGGGTCAGTGTCTGGTGAGAGCTCTCTCCTTAGGTGGCAGAGAGCCGCCTCTTGCTGTGTCCTCACATAGCAGAGAGATAGTTCTGGCCTCTTCCTCTTCTTATAAGGACACTAATCCCACCATGAGGGCCCCACCCTCATGACCTCATCTAACCCTAACCTCCTCCTGAAGGACCCACCTCCAAATACTAGCCCACAGAGGATCAGGGCTTCAGCACAAGTTTGTTGTAGGGAAGACACCATTTATTCCGTAGCACTCATGCAAAACACTAAAAGTGTTGCCCACATTCAGTAGCATGTAGGGAAATATTTGCTGGTGATCTTAGGATGGCGATTGAGGTTTAAATCCTGGCTCTTCCTTTCATAGGCTGTGTGTTCCTGAGTCCATTTCTCAAATTCCCTGGGCCTCAGTTTCCTCAGCTGTAAAATGGGAGTGATCATCATGGCCCACCTCAAGGTCTCGGAGCAGTGCTGGGGATATGAAAGAGCTTAGTAGACTCTGGCCTCCTACAACGAAGAGGATATTTATTTTGTTGGGGTGGGGGGTCGGTGGAGGGATCTAGGCACCAGGGAGAGAGGGGAGTGGTGCAGGTCCTGTGGGGTCTGCACTATGCCCTCCCCTACTACATAGATGGGAAAGCAGAGGCCCAGAGAGGGACAGAGGGTTGTCCAGAGCCACTCAGCCCATCAGCTAAGCTGCAGCTAGCACTTGGCCCTTAGGTATCTCAGAGGAGGCAGTGGGGGCCTCTGAAGGGCAGGCCAGGTGGGCAGCCACGCCTCCCTGCTCCCCACAGTCTCCATAGGTCCCCAGAGACACGCCTGCTGGAGGTGGCCTCCTAATCACGCCTCCTAATTACAGCACCTAATTACCACACAGCCCCAGGGAAAGGCTGGGAACACTTTTTTTTTTTTTTTTAAATAAATTTATTTATTTATTTATGGCTGCGTTGGGTCTTCATTGCTGCAGGCTTTCTCTAGTTGCGGCAAGTGGGGGCTACTCTTCTCACTGGGTGGCTTCTCTTGTTGTGGAGCACAGGCTCTAGGCACGCAGGCTTCAGTAGTTGCGGCTCGCGGGCTCTAGAGCACAGGCTCGGTAGTTGTGGCTCATAGGCTTAGTTGTTCCGTGGCATGTGGGATCTTCCTGGACCAGGGCTCGAACCCATCCGTGTCCCCTGCATTGGCAGACAGATTCTTAACCACTGCGCCACCAGGGAAGTCCCCTGGGAACACCTTTTAAAGGCCTTTAAACACCCCAACAGTGGCTCCCGGCCCTGCCAACGTCAGGCTCCCAAGGGTGCAGCCAGAAGCTCCGGGGAGAAGGAAAAGCACAAAAACAAAACACACTTATTGTCAAGCTCAGCCCGGGGGGCAGTGACAAGGCCTAGAGGCCTGGGTTCCCAGCCCCTGCCAGGCTGGTGACCTCCAGATGGGCCACACTCTCTCTGAGCCTCTCTTGTCCCCATTTGCAGAATGGGTTACTAGTAAATAAATGCGTAAAGAAGACTTAGAATGGTTCCCAGCATGCGGGAAGTCTGTGCCATCCACAGTATCATTACTATTGTTTGTTGCTGTGGCCAGGTTCAATCCGTGGTTGGGGGAACTAAGATCCCGCGCATGTGCAGGGCCAAAAAAAAAAAAAAAAGTTATGGGCAATAATAAGTCCTGGCAAAGATGTAGGGAGATCTGAACCCTCCTCCAGAGCTGTTGGGAATGGCAAATGGAGCAGCCACAGTGGAAATCAGTTTGGTGGTTTCTCTAAAAGTTAAACCTGGAGTTTCCATCTGACACAGCAATTCCACTCCTCGGTACCTACCTAAGAGAAATGAACATACGTGTCCACAGGAAAATCTGTACATGAATATTCACAGCAGCACTACTCATGATAGTCCAAAAGTAGAAACACCCCAAACGTCCATCAACAGATGAATAGGTGAACAAAAGGTGGTCCCTCCACACACGGAGGGACTCAGCCATGAAAAGGGGTGAAGCCCTGACACTCACTGCAACGTTGATGAACCTTGAGAACACGATGCTCATTGAGAGAAGCCAGATACAGAAGGACACCCAGTGTGTGATTCCATTGATGGGAAACGTCCAGAACGGGCAAATCCACAGAGACAGAATGGATTCCTGGTTGTCAGGGGCTGGGGGAGCGGGATGGGGTGAGTGCTCATGGGGACGGGGCTTCTTTAAGGGATGTTGAATGAAATAAGACAGATATGGAAGGACAAGTACTGTCTGATCCCACTCATAGGAGGTCCTAGAGGAGTCAAAACCATAGAGACAGAAAATAGTTGGTGGGGGCCAGGGGCTGGGGGAGGGGGTGGGGAGTGTTTAATGGGGACAGAGTTTCAGTTTGTGAAGATGAGAAAGTTCTGGAGATGGATGGTGGCAATGGTTGCATGACAGTATGAATGTGCACCTACTGCCACTGAGCTGTGCACTTAAAGAGGTAAGATGGTTAATTTTGTTTATCCATTCCTCTGTTGATGGAGATTTGTTTCCACTCTTGGCTATTGTGAATAATGGTGCTATGGACATTGGTGTACAAATATCTGTTTGAATACTTGCTTTTTATTTTTATTTTATTTTATTTTTGGCTGCATTGAGTCTTTGCTGCTGCGCGCAGGCTTTCGCTAGTTGCGGCGAGCAGGGGCTACTCTTCGTTGCAGTGCACCAGCTTCTCATTGCGGTGGCTTCTTTTGTTGTGGAGCATGGGCTCTAGGTGTGCGGGCTTCAGTAGTTGTGGTACACAGGCTCAGTATTTGTGGCGCATGGGGCTTAGTTGCTCCGCAGCATTGGGATCTTCCCGGACCAGGGCTCGAACGCGTGTCCCCTGCACTGGCAGGCGGATTCTTAACCACTGCGCCACCAGGGAAGTCCCCGAATCCTTGCTTTTTAAATTCTTTTGGGTATATACCTAGTAGTGGAATTGCGGGGTCACTCTCCTGCCACGGTCCCCATTTTTTAGAGTGGGTTTCCACGTTATGGAGAAGGAAAATCAAGGCTTGGAGGTTGCACAGAAGTTGCACAGCAAAGGATCTGAACCCCAGTCTGCATCTTCCCCTCTGATTCATCCCCCTCCTCCCCCATTCACTTCCCTGGCAGTCCAGTGGTTAGGACTCGGCGCTTCCACTGCAGGGTGTGTGGGTTCAATCCCTGGTCGGGGAACTAAAATCCCTCATTGACCTCATTACTGGCTTAGGAAGGGTGAGGGACGAGGAACAGCTGCCACAGGCCTGGGAGGAGGGAGTCAAGTAAAGCTGGTGATGCAAGTGAAGGGCTGGATCCTGTTTTTGTTTAAAATTTTGAAATTTTGTTCATCATGGAAATTTTTTCATTACTTTTGATTTGTTCAAATATTGCCTTATGCAAATCAAAACCACATTGAGATACAACTTAACACCCACTAGAATGGGTATTATATATATATATATTTTTTTTTTTTTTTTTTTTAAGGACAATTTCAATTATTGGCAAGGATGTGGAGAAATTGGAACCCTTGTGCACTGCAATTGGGAATGTAAAATGGTATAGCTGCTGTGGAATATAGTTTGGTGATTCCTCGAAAATTAAACATAGGATTACCCTATGACCCAGCAATTCCATTTCTGGGTCTACACCCAAGGGAAATAAAATAATACATTCACATAAAAACTTATATATGAATGGTCACAGCAGCATTATTCACAATGGTCAAAAAGTGGAAACAACCCAAGTGTCCATCAACAGACGAATGAATGAATACACAACATGTGGTCCATCCTTACAATGGAACATTAGCCACAAAAAAAATGAAGCACTGACATACAATACAACGTGCACGAAAACATGATACTCAGTGAGACAAGCCAGACACAAAAGGTCACATAGTATATGATTCATTTATATGAAATGTCTAGAACAAGCAAATCCACAAAAACAGAAAGTGTACTAGTCGTTTCCAGAGGTGGGGTGGGGGGATGCTAATGGGGATGGGGCTTCTTATGGGGGTGATGGAATGGTTTCTTTTCCTTATAAATTTTATTTATTTATTTATTTATTGGCTGCACCGCACAGTTTGTGGGATTTTAGTTCCCCAACTAGGGATCAAACCCGGGCCCCCAGCAGTGGAATCTCAGAGTCCTAACCACTGGACCGCCAGGGAATTCCCGATGGAATGTTTTGGAACTGGATAGACATGATGGTTGCACGCCATTGTGAATGTATTAAATGTCTCTCATAGTAAATTGTATGTGTATTTTACCACAATTCAAAAATCGATTGCGCTAAAATAGTATTTATCTTGTTGACTGAGATTTTGGTCTTAAATTTTACGCCTGAAGAAAGTGCCTTACTAGAAAGTACACTCATCCTAGTCCCAGCCCTGCCAGAATTAAATAGGAAAGTCACAATACAGCTTCATTGAGAAGGTGACATTTAAGTCAAGACTGGAAGGAGACAAAGGAATTAGCCAAACTGGGTTGTAGGGATGAGCTTTCCAGGCAGAGGGAACAGTCAGTGCAAAGGCCCTGGGGCAGGACCGGGCCTGGTGTATTGGAGGAACAGCCAGGAGGCCTGTGTGTCTGGAGCAGAGTGAGTGAGGGGGAGAGAGGGAGGAGGGGAGGGCAGGGAGGGGACGGGGCAGGTCTTGCAGGGCCTTGGGGAGGACTTGGGCTTTTACACCGAGGGAGGTGGGACCCTGGCAGGTTGTGGGCAGAGGAGGGGCAGGACCTGAGTCAAGTATTTAAAGCCTGTCTGCTCTGCAAGGGGAAGGATTTTTGTCCTCCTTAATCACTGCTATAAACCTCCACTTAGAGCCATGCTTGGCACACAGTAGGTGCAATAAATGTTTACTGAGGGGATGAATGAATAACAGCTCCCTTTGGGGAGGGGGGCACTAGGGTACAGACCAGTAAACTCATACTGCCCTGGGGTCACTTAGCCAGGTTATGGCAGCCAGGGGCTCAAACCCAGGCCCGGACAGCTGAGGCCCCAGCTCCACCAGGCCTATCACAGGGAGGTCCCTGTGCACACGGCAGCCACCTGTTTCCTCCCCCGCCTCTGATTAATGACCCTGCAGCCCCATCCATCATGCGCCAGCCAGCGCCTGGCTCTGCCCTGGAGGCCCAGCGCTCATTTGTAAGCAGGCTGCGAGGCTGGTCTCAGGCTGTTGGATACATGAGACAGATCCCCACCCCAACTTGGCCCCAAGAATCCCAGGAAGAGGAAAGATCAGGATATGGACCCAAGGAGTAGGCGATGGGTAAGAGCTGGGGGGTGTGGGATGGCAGCTCCCCAGACAACAAGGTCTTCAAAAGCCCCAGTTTCCCCCAAATTAATTATATGATGAAGACTATTCCCTCCTGGGCTGCAGCCTTCTGCCCTGCCTTTCCCCGACTTGCTGGCATTCTGCTCTTTCTACCCGCAAAACCTCCTCCACACAGCGGGCCCGGCTCAGCCTGCACCTCTCCTGAGCCTTAGTTTGGGGATCCCCCCTGGTCTCCTGACCTCCCGCCTCATCTGCATCCATTCCCACTACCAGTAAGCATTTTCTACCACTCGCCCTGGTGGTCTCTCTCTGCTGCTCTAAGCCAGGGCTTCTCAGCTGGGGGCAATTCTGCCCTGAGGGACACTTGGGACTGGGGGTACTCCTGGGATCTAGTGAGTGGGGGCCAGGGATGCTTCTCAATACCCCACAGTGCCCAGGACGCCCCCCTCCCCCACCAGAGAATGATTCGGGCCAGAATGTCAAGAGTACAGACTGACAAATGCTGCTCTAAACTCTTCCATGGCTCCCTAGTGCTCTCCAGGTACAAGCCCAACTCCTCAGTGCAGAATGCAGGGTCCTGCATCATCTGGGGTCCTGGCCCTCTCCAGCCAGTGTTCCCACCATGACTTGCCTTCACGCCCCACCTGGAGGGGCAGGACTGCATAGCGATCAAGGGCCCAAGGACCTGGGTTGACATCATGGTGCTGCCACCCACCAGCTATGTGATTTTGGCCAAGTCTCTTAACCTCTCGGTGCCTTAATTTCCCCATATTTCAAATGGGCATAATGGTAGTACCCAGGGTTAAAATGCTAAAGCAGTGACTGGTTCATGGTAAAAACTCAAACAGGTAGGAGGGTGTAGAGAAAATGGAACCCTCTTACACTGGTGGTGGGAATGTAAACTGGTATGAACAGTATGAAGGTTCCTTAAAAAACTAAAAATAGAGCTACCATATGCCCCAGCAATCCCACTCCTAGGCATATACCCGAAAGATCAGGATATGGACCCAAGGAGTAGGCGATGGGTAAGAGCTGGGGGGTGTGGGATGGCAGCTCCCCAGACAACAAGGTCTTCAAAAGCCCCAGTTTCCCCCAAATTAATTATATGATGAAGACTATTCCCTCCTGGGCTGCAGCCTTCTGCCCTGCCTTTCCCCGACTTGCTGGCATTCTGCTCTTTCTACCCGCAAAACCTCCTCCACACAGCGGGCCCGGCTCAGCCTGCACCTCTCCTGAGCCTTAGTTTGGGGATCCCCCCTGGTCTCCTGACCTCCCGCCTCATCTGCATCCATTCCCACTACCAGTAAGCATTTTCTACCACTCGCCCTGGTGGTCTCTCTCTGCTGCTCTAAGCCAGGGCTTCTCAGCTGGGGGCAATTCTGCCCTGAGGGACACTTGGGACTGGGGGTACTCCTGGGATCTAGTGAGTGGGGGCCAGGGATGCTTCTCAATACCCCACAGTGCCCAGGACGCCCCCCTCCCCCACCAGAGAATGATTCGGGCCAGAATGTCAAGAGTACAGACTGACAAATGCTGCTCTAAACTCTTCCATGGCTCCCTAGTGCTCTCCAGGTACAAGCCCAACTCCTCAGTGCAGAATGCAGGGTCCTGCATCATCTGGGGTCCTGGCCCTCTCCAGCCAGTGTTCCCACCATGACTTGCCTTCACGCCCCACCTGGAGGGGCAGGACTGCATAGCGATCAAGGGCCCAAGGACCTGGGTTGACATCATGGTGCTGCCACCCACCAGCTATGTGATTTTGGCCAAGTCTCTTAACCTCTCGGTGCCTTAATTTCCCCATATTTCAAATGGGCATAATGGTAGTACCCAGGGTTAAAATGCTAAAGCAGTGACTGGTTCATGGTAAAAACTCAAACAGGTAGGAGGGTGTAGAGAAAATGGAACCCTCTTACACTGGTGGTGGGAATGTAAACTGGTATGAACAGTATGAAGGTTCCTTAAAAAACTAAAAATAGAGCTACCATATGCCCCAGCAATCCCACTCCTAGGCATATACCCGGAGAAAACCATAATTTGAAAAGATACATGCACCCCAGTGTTCATAGCAGCACTATTTACAATAGCCAAGACATGGAAACAACCTGAATGTCCATCGACAGAGGAATAAATAAAGAAGATGTGGTACACATATACAATAGAATACTACTCAGCCATAAAAAAGAACAAAATAATGCCATTTGCAGCAACATGGATGGACCTAGAGATTGTTATACTGAGTGACGTAAATCAGACAGAAAAAGACAAATATCGTATGATATCGCTTACATGTGGAATCTAAAAAAAGGGTACAAATGAACTTATTTACAAAACAGAAGTAGAGTCACAGATGTAAAAAACAAACTTATGGTTGCCAGGGGGTAAGGGGGGGAGGGATAAATTGGGAGATTGGGATTGACATACACACACTACTATATATAAAATAGATAACTAATAACAACCTGCTGTATGGCAGAGGGAACGCTACTCAATATTCTGTAATGGCCTATATGGGAAAAGAATCTAAAAAAAGAGTGGATATATGTATATGTATAACTGATTCACTTTGCTGCATACCTAAAAACTTAAACAGGGACTTCCCTGGGGGCACAGTGGTTAAGAATACGCCCGCCAATGCAGGGGACACGGGTTCGAGCCCTGGTCCAGGACGATCGCACGTGGCGCAGAGCAGCTAACCCCGTGCACCACAACTACTGAAGTGCACGCGCCTATAGAGCTCACGCTCCGCAACAAGAGAAGCCACCACAGTGAGAGGCCCGCACAATGCAACGAACAGTAGCCCCCCGCTCACCACAACTAGAGAAAGCTGGTGCGCAGCAACGAAGACCCAATGCAACCAAAAATAAATGAATAAATTAATTAAACAGGTGGGTCGGTTTATTCATAGTCTGGGTCACACTTCCAGGCTTCTCTACTACATGGTGAAAGGCCTGCCCTGACCCCACTGTACTGGAGATGTCTGTGTCCATCTCCGCCCACCCAAGGCTAGGGTCTGCTAAAATGGTCAGAGCCCTAATACTTGGAGCTGCCTGCCTAGATGCAGAGGGCCTCCCAGGAGAAACGGTGTCTGGTCCCTGTGTGGGAGTGGGGAGATTTGGGAGCAGGGCTGGTTTGTTGGGCCTGTGACTCGTGCAGTCTTACAGAACCCTGTACTTGAAGGAAGGGCGCTGCTCTTAGTTTAATGCTCTGTTGTCACCTTCCTGAAATTCCTGATCCTTTTTGAACCTGAGGCCCTGCGTTTTCATTTGGCCCTGGGCCCTGAAAATTCTGTAGCCTGTTCCACTCAGGGACCCCAATACGATTTGTGAGGTCTGCATATTCTGGAACCATTCAGAATAGTAAACTTTCTATAACTTTTTTTTTTTTTGGCCGCACCACACAGCTTGTGGGATCTTAGTTCCCTGACCAGGGATCCAACCCATGTCCCCAGCAGTGGAAGCAATGAGTCCTAACCACTGGACCACCAGGGAATTCCCCAGGAATAGTAAACTTTCTAAAAGTTTGCGCTTTTTCTCTTACGGCATCGGGACTAGGCACCCTGCATCCTCCTAACTCGTCTCTGGCCCCACTGGATGCTGTTTTATTTATTTATTTGTTTGTTTGTTTATTTAGGCCATGACCTGTGGCATGTGGGACCTTAGTTCCCTGACCAGGGATTGAACCCGGCCCCCTACAATGGAAGCCTGGCATCTTAACCACTGGATCGCCAGGGAAGTCCAAGATGCTGTCTTATTTAATATGTTATCTTGCTCGTGATGAATTTTTGGCATTAATTTTTATTTTAAAAAATATCGTGTTCTGGGCTTTCACTACCGTGGCCTGGGTTCAATCCCTGGTCAGGGAACTGAGATCCCGCAAGCCGCACTGGGTGGCCACAGGAAAAAAAAAATACGGTGTTTTATCTTGAAGGGCTTTTTGGGTGGAAGGGGCTTCAATTTTGCTTACTCATGTCAACCTAGTCCTAGCCCTTCCTCTGCCCAGGAAAGGTGACCAGAGTCCTAACTCCAGATGGGAAAACCCAAGGCCCATCCAGGAGGCAAGGTGCGTAGTTGATGGTGATAGTGATAATTAAGAGCTTGTCTATTTAGCACTTGCTGGAGGTTCACGTGTATTATTTCAACAGCTTCTTCGAGGCCTGAGTCAGTCCTGTCCCTCCTCTGCCCACAGCCCTCCAGGACTCCGACCTCACTGAGTAAAAGCCTAAGTCCTTCCCACAGACCCCGAGGCCCTGCACCATCTGTCCGGTCCCATCACCAGCTACTGAATTTGCAGGGCCCTTGTTCAAAAATTGCGAAACAAGGGCTTCCCTGGTGGCGCAGTGGTTGGGAGTCCGCCTGCCGATGCAGGGGACACGGGTTCGTGCCCTGGTCCGGGAAGATCCCACATGCCGCGGAGCGGCTAGGCCCGTGAGCCTTGGCCACTGAGCCTGCGCGTCCAGAGCCTGTGCCCCGCAACGGGAGTGGCCACAACAGTGAGAGGCCCGCGTACCGCAAAAATAAATAAATAAATAATTGCAAAACAAAACTGTGAGGCCCCTTGTTCAAAAATTATTAGGAATTTCCAGACCAAAACGGCAGATCATTAACCCAAGCGCAGGCCCTTCTGGGAGCAGCGCCCATGTGTGAATGCAGGAAGCTGCTGCCTCCCTGCCCCCATCTCCTCCCAAGCACCCCACTCCGTGCCAGCCACAGTGCTGCCTCAGGGCCTTTGCACTGCCGTTTCTCCCTACTTGAATAAGCCACCACCCCCACAGCCTACTGGCTCGCTCTCTCACTTTCGGGCCCTCTTAGAGGCCAAGCAGGCCCCCTCTGACCTCCCTCTGCGAAAAATCGCACCTTCCCAGCCCTCCCTCCTGCTTTGTTTTCTCCATAGCTGTTACCACCTTCTGACCTGCCAGGGATTTGGTTCATGTGTTTGCCCTCTCATGTCATCTCCACCAGGGTCGGGACTTTGTACCCCTTCCCACCCCCACGTCCTGGAGCGGGGCCTGGAACACAGTAGGCGCTCCATAAATGTGTGTTGAAGGTATGGCTCCCAGGAAGTCCGTATCACCACCTCCTTTCTACAGAAGAGGAAACCGAGGCTCAGAGAACAGCCCGTGAGCCAAGATTACAGAGCATGTCCCTGGCACGCGTCCGGGTCGCGCCATGACTGCGCCGGCGGTTTCGATGGGGGCAGCCGGGGCCCCCGGCTCTGACACATGGGGAAACCGAGGCCCTGGCGGCTGCCGGGGCCACCCGGCCGGGAGGGGCCGCGGCGAGGCGGGGGCGCGCCGGGCCCAAGGTCACTGCGCCGGCCGGCCCGGGGGAGGCGGATGGGTGGGGATCCGCGGGCCT